AAAATGTTTTGAGAATGATGAGGGCAACAAATGTACAAATGTGCTTGACACAATGGATGGATGTATGGATTGTGATAAGGATTATATGAGCCCCCAATAAAATGATTTAAAAAAAGACAAAGTAAAATATTATAGTGAAATGTGCAAAGGCCTAGAGTTAGAAAACCTAAAGAAAAGAACATGATTGGAATATCTTAAACGGAAAGAACTAAAGAAAAAATTCAAGCCTCTAGCAATATTGAAGGATTCAATGGCCAAAATATTGAATGACGCAGGAAGCACCCAAAGAAGATGGGAAAAAACACATGGTCACTTACCATGTCAGGAGGTAGCACATAAATAAGAACCAAAGGTCCTGAAGGAAGGACTCCACACTACACTGAAAGCATTAGCTAAAAACAAGGGTCTAGGAATTGATGGAATAACCACTGAAATGTTACAAAAAGCTGATGAAACACTGGAAGCACTTACATGTCTTGTGTTAGGAAATTTGAAAATCAGTTATTTGGCCAACTGAGTGGAAGAGATCTATATTTGTACCCATTCCAAAGAAAGGTGGCTCAACAGAATGTTCAAATAATAGAACAAGTACTATCACTGCCTTCACATGCAAGTAAAATTTTGCTGAAGATCACCCAACAACGGTAGCAGTAATACAAAGACAGGGAGCTGCCAGAGGTTCAGGACAGATTCAGAAGAGGAAGTCTACAATGAGCTCTCACTGTTGATGTCAGATGGATCTTGGATGAAAGCAGACAATACCAGAAAAATATTTACTTGGGTCTCATTGACTGTGGAGAGGAAATTGCCAGTGTGGTCATAACAAAATATGGATAGCCTCGAGAAGAGTGAGAATTACAGAACACTTAATTGTGTTCATTTAGAACTTGTACATGGATCAAAGAGGCATTTGTGTGAACAGAACAAAGGAATACTGCATGGTCTAAAATCAAGAAAGATGTGTATCAGGGTTTATCCTCTCACTATACTTGTTCAATCTGTATGCTGAGCAAATCATCAGAGAAGCTGGATTCTAAGGATATTGTAGAATCAGAATTGAAGGAAGGTTATTAACAACCTGAGCTATACAGATGATACATAGCCTTGCTTGGTGAAAGTGAGGAGAATGTGAAGCACTTGCTGATGAAGATTAGGACAGCAGCCTTAAGTATGGATTGCAACTCAATGTAAAGAAGACCACAATCTTCACCACTGGACCAACTAGTAATCATGCTAAATGGAGAAAAGGTTGAAGTTGTCAAGGATTTCATCTTGCTTGGATCCACAATTCATGCACATGAAAGCAGCAGTCAAGAGATCAAAAGGTATATTGTGTTAGGGATAGCTGCTGCACAAAACCTCTAGAGCACTGAAATCAAGGGTGTTCCTTTGAGGACTCGGGTGCACTTAACCCAAGCCGTGGTATTTCTTCTCTAAGGCATCCTATGCATGTGAGAGCTGGACACTGAATAAGGAAGACCAGAGAAGCATCTATGTTTTGGAATTCTGGTGCTGGTAAAGAACGTCAAACATACCAAGGACTGCCCAATCTATCTTGGAAGAAGTACAGCCAGGGTGCTCCTTAGAGGCGAAGATGGCGAGACTTCATGTTACATACTTTGGACATGTTACATACTTTGGACTTGCTGTCAGGAGAGGGCAGTTCGGAGAAGGAGATCATGCTCAGTAAAGTGGAGGGGCAGCAA